TTAGCTTGTCACGCTTACAGAAATAAGTAGTGGACTGGATTTGTCCCATAGGTCATAATTGCTGGCTGATGCGGTAGACATTTTGAACTTTATAGGCAACCATTAAAAAAGGTTTTATTTAGGAAAAGCACATATCAGACACAAAGTTTGAAAACACCAATATGATAGCACTGTGGGAATTGAGGCAAAACTAGTGTCAGTGAAACTACTTAAGATATTCTTGAAGCAATCAGTGGATGTAATAATCTCTGAGCTAAAAAGTAAAGTAAACAGTTTTTGGTATTTCCTTAGAAGTGCCATGAATAGGGGCACCGGGATGGCCCAGTCAATTACGTGTCCAACTCTTGATTTCAGCTCAGGTCATGATCTCAGGGTTATGAGACTGAGACCCACGTCAAGCTCAGGGCTGAGCACAGAGTCTGCTTAGGACTCTCTCTCTCTCTCCCTCCCCCTCGCCCTCTGCCCCACCCCCACTCTCTCTCTCTCTCATATAAGTAAGTAAATAAAATTTTTTAAAAAAAGAAGTGCTATGAATAGTAGTATGGAAAAAGAGGAGTGAAGGATAACTCTTTATTCTCTTTTAAAATCAGGCATTACTTAGGAATTTGGTGATGCCATTGGAAAAGAAACACAAGAAGCAGAATTAGACCTGTAAATACAGAGAACAAGCTGATGGTTGCTAGGGCAGAAGGGTGGGGTGTGGGGAGGGGGAGGGAGAGTACTGGGAATGGGCATATGGATGAAGGGGAGTGGGAGATACAGACTTCCCATTATGGAATGAGTAAGTCATGGGAATAAAAGGCACAGCATAAGGAATGTAGTCAATGATATTGTAATAGCGTTATATAGTGACAGATGGTAAGTACACTTGTGGTGAGCATAGTATAATGTATAAACTTGTCAGATCACTGTTATACACCTGAAGGTAATATGCATGTTTGTCAACTCCATTTAAATAAATTTTTTTAAAAACAAGAAGTATGCATATAGAAATAATGAATTGTGTTTTAAATAGAATTAGTTTAACATAGTAACAATAATTGAAACTACAAACCAGACTGGACTTTACCAAATGTGAATATGCAAATTTGAATTTAAAGAGTCCATATCTTTCCTCACCTTGACATTGTTAAACATGAATGTTTGTATTTAAGAATTTCTTTTTTTTTATTTTATTTTATTATGTTAGTCACCATACAATACATCATTAGTTTTTGATGTAGTGATCCATGCTTCATTGTTTTCATATAACACCCAGTGCTCCATGCAGTACGTGCCCTCCTTAATACCCATCACTGGGCTAACCCATCTCCCAAACCCTATCCCCTCTGAAACCCTCAATTTGTTTTTCAGAGTCCACAGTCTTTCATGGTTCATCTCTCCCTCCGATTTCCCCCCTTCATTTTTTCCCTTCCTTCTCCTAATATCCTCCATGCTATTCCTTATATCACAAATAAATGAAACCATATGATAATTGACTTTCTCTGCTTGACTTATTTCACTAACATAATCTCCGGTCCCATCCATGTTGATGTAAAAGCTGGGTATTCATCCTTTCTGATGGCTGAGTAAGATTCCATTGTATATATGGACCACATCTTCTTTATCCATCCATCTGTTGAAGGGCATCTCGGCTCTTTCCAAAGTTTGGCAATTGCGGACATTGCTGCTATGAACATTGGGGTGCATATGGCTCTTCTTTTCACTACATCTGTGTCTTTGGGGTAAATACCCAGTAGTGCAATTGCTGGGTAAAAGGGTAGCTCTGTTTTTAATTTTCTGAAGCACCTCCACCCTGCTTTCCAAAGTGGCTGTACCAACTTAAATTCCCACCAGCAGTGTAAGAGGGTTCCCCTTTCTCCACAACCTCTCCAACATTTGTTGTTTCTTGCCTTGTCAACTTTTGCATCACCAAGATAGCATGGTACTAGCACAAAAACAGACATATAGACCAATGGAACAGAATAGAGAGCCCAGATATGGACCCTCAACTCTATGGTCAAATAATCTTTGACAAAACAGGAAAAAATATGCAATGGAAAAAAGACAGTCTCTTCAGTAAATGGTGCTGGGAAAATTGGACAGCCACACACAGAAGAATGAAACTCGACCATTCTCTAACACCCTACACAAAGATAAACTCAAAATGGATGAAAGACTTCAATGTGAGACAGGAATCCATCAAAATCCTAGAGGAGAACAAAGGCAGTAACCTCTTTGACATCGGCCACAGCAACTTCTTTCAAGATACACCTCCAAAGGCTAGTGAAACAAAAACAAAAATGAACTTTTGGGACTTCATCAAGATAAAAAGCTTCTGCACAACAAAAGAAACAGTTAACAAAACAAATAGACAACCCACAGAATGGGAAAAGATATTTGCAAATGACACTACAGATAAAGGGCTGGTATCTGTGATCTATAAAAACTTCTTAAACTCAACACCCAAAAAACAAATAATCAAGTCAAAAAATGGGCAGAAGACATCAACAGACACTTCTCCAAAAAAGACATACAAATGGCTAACAGACACATGAAAAAATGTTCATCATCATTAGCCATCAGGGAAATTCAAATCAAAACCACACTGAGATAACACCTTACACCAGTTAGAATGTATTTAAGAATTTCTTAATTCAAAATGTCTTTTTGTAGCCTACTTGTAGTTCCCCTGGTAGTATCTTTATTCTTTAACAGCACTGATTCTTAAACTACAGTTTTTCACACTTACTTAAACAATTCTTTTAATGATCGATTTAAACTCTTCCATGTAACATGCACTTAAAATTTGGTTAGTTATCTGTGAATTTAAGATCCTATAGCCTAGATTAGCACTGATAAGGGAACTCATTTTGTTTCTCATATCTTTAATCTTTGACTTTTTGAAAAGATATTTTAGCTAAATGGCTCAAATCATGATTAGTTCCACATTGCAAATAATTGTCCCCAGCTACTTTCTAAAAATTATCATACGCTCTGTGTGACTGAGAATAGCAAAAATCTCAGTGTTTACAGTAGTTCTTTCTCTTAAAGTCAAGAATTAATTCAAAAAAAAAAAAGAAAGAAAGAAATGCATCACTTGCCTGGTCAAAAACATCTCCTTGCTGCTCACTGTGTCAAATCTCTTAACTCTGGTACCCCTATATGAGCTGTAGGGAGGTCCTATCAAATTAATCTTCTTATATGTATTCACTCTTTCAACAAATACTGATCAAGAAATTTCTATATTAGCTTTACCACATCTTCATAAATAATTTTACAGGGTCAACCTCATATATATTAAGTTTTTAGTTTGTTTGTTTATAGCTGCATTTTGTAATGTAATGCACATTATACATTATCCTCACATCATCCTTGAAAAAAACACAAAATAGGTAGAAATTTATGGCACAGAAGCTATAAATAACTCACTAATCCTATAGGCCCAGGTTATAGTCCCTTTAGTCTTTAGACTTGCATATTGCACAAGTTGATAACCAAGGGCATTGATTCCTTCCTTGGCACTGAAAATATATTCTGGTTTTAAAGATGGAGATCAGAGCTTACGCACATGGAAGAAAAGGAGTTAAAGAGAGTATAGGAAGTAAACTTGTATCTGTAACCCAAGTGTAATTTTCATAGACCAGTGCAATTTCCCATTATGAAATGATTTTTCTCCTTTTTTGCAACACTTGGAGCAATTATTTTCATTAATAGTTGTTGGGTCAAAGACCATGTATCAGAATAGTTAATTGGTGCAATGAAAAACAGATTTGACCAATTTTTCTCAATGAAACTAAATGGGTATCTTAAAAGAGTTGAACTAATTAACTGTCTTAGAACTTTTGAAGAAGTAGGTAATTTATTTTTATAGTCAGGACCAAACTAGTATGAGATTTGTTTTATAGTATTCAGCATATTGATCTATTAAAATTTCTGTAGTCAGACATATTTAGATGTAAGACTATCAAGGATCACATAATGTAAGAAATAATGCTTCAGAATTATATTTATCTTTAAATATTTATTGGCTACTTATGTTACAGGGTATCACCAATATCAAAGTTTGTCGCTTCCTCCTTGGATCATTGCTAATTGATATTTCTTGTCTCCCTTCCATTTAGTTAGGACAATGTAATGTGTTCTATTAACAAAATGATCTTTTAGAATGAGGTGATTAAAAGCAGGCCTAACCTCTCTTCTCTAAAGGCTATATGTGTAGTATTAAGTGAAGGAACTGCAGACACTAGAAACTACTACATGAAAGGATATTAGTTCCTGAATGACCCATAACAAATTGTGATTTGATTAAGAAATAAATCTTTATTAACTGAGTCACTGACATTTTGGGGAGTCCTTATTTCAGCAGTTTCCATGATTTACATAAACTAATGCAGCTTTTCACTTGTCACCGGTGATTAGAATAGAAATTGAGTAACCACCATACTCATTTTGAGATGTGTGTCAGATTTACCTGGAAAACTTAAAAAAAAAAAGAAATGAATATCCGGCCCAGTCAACTTAGGTTGATGTGAAAGCATAGCAGGCATGTGTATGTCTCAAAAAAATTACATATAATTCTGATGTTTGCTTTCGGTTAAGAATCACTGTGAAGGTTCTTATCTTATAAGGGGTATATTATCCTTCACATAAACCAGTTTAAATCAGTATTCAAATTCATTATTCATGTATCTATAGCTTTCATTGCAAGATTTGGAGATTTGGTATTTTTACAATTTAAAATAATTATGACTGACTTCTTCCAGCTCAAAATTCTGATACAAAATTTGTGAGTACAAAATGCATAGTATATCACAGTAACCTCTGAATAAATATTTTAGATAAAAGGCAAATCTAAGCTAACATGATCACATGGCTAATGCTTCACTGAAAATTACTTCCATTTCCCAAGAGGTGATTTAGACTTATATATCTTGCATTTACTTTGTTTCTTTTTTTTTTTGGAAAAAAACATGTTTATTGTCTAAAAATGTATATTAAAAAATTCCCCACAAAAGATGCTATTCTTTCATTTTCCCATCTTCTTCCTCTTCTTCAACACCCCTGATATAAAGGACATTACACCTTATTAAAACTTCAGCCAAATGTCCAGACAATGCTCCATCTATGTATTCTTCTGTGTTTGCAAGCTGCATGTTCATATAGCCATCTACAGATACCAGGTAGCCTTTGTACCCCATTCCCCCCTTAGGTTCCACCATTACTGGTTTTCCTGTTAATACATTCAGAAAAGGTTTGGGATTGAGGGGCAAACTCATCATGACTGCAAGCAAATGCTGCAGGCCACTTGCCAACAACTGAACTTTTGTCTGTTTCTGGTGACTAGAATAGCTGTAGCCAGCACATCTCCTTTTAGTTTCTTAATTTCTACAAAAAATAATAAGTTCAAACCCTTTTGATATGATTTAACAGAAGGCAGTTTTCTTAATCTCATGGTTCGTCTAAGAAACTGAGTATATTTGTTGAGGATATAAGAAGACAAGGATTTATTGAATGACAAGACTATCTAAAATAGCTCAGGTGGGTCAGCTGATTGAAGAAATACCTAGATAATATACACAAACATACTGCTATATAATCCCAGAGTGTGAGCTGCTGACTAAATCATGACAAACATCCTTTATTCATTTACTTGCATATTTATTCATAATTCAACAAATATCTGTTGAACAACTCTTATGTTTGAAGCCTACACATTGAGAATAAAAATGACTATGGCATCTTTCCTTTATAACAGAAAAGAGCTCATTTATATTTTTACCATCTGGTGTCAAAGAATAGACATTATCTTAACAGTAAGCACAATGGTCTAGCTTCTAGTTTGAAGAAAACAAGTCATGATTTCTGAGCCACACTTGCAATAGTCCCTTCTTCATGTGAGAAAGACGGTGTCAAGATAGCAAGGCAGGGGGCACCTGGGTGGCTCAGTTGGTTAAGCGACTGCCTTCGGCTCAGGTCATGATCCTGGAGTCCCGGGATCGAGTCCCGCATCGGGCTCCCTGCTCAGCGGGGAGTCTGCTTCTCCCTCTGACCCTCTTCCCTCTCGTGCCCTCTATCTCTCATTCTCTCTCTCTCAAATAAATAAATAAAAATCTTTAAAAAAAAAAAAAGATAGCAAGGCAGGAGCTCAAGCTAAGACAAATTGAACAAGAGCTAAAATGCATATCCAGATACTTTTTTCTGTTACTTATTATTTTACAAGTATTTTACAAGTAATTTACAAGTAATAAAAAGAATTCAGCATCAGAAAAATAACAAAGAATTTGTAAAAGAAGTAGGGGTTTGTTTTTGTAGATAGTTTGCTAAGTGGCTCTAGCTTTGTGGGTTGAGGGGCTGTGGAAACAAGTCTCAATCAAACTACAGTTTCGATGCAAAAGGAAAATCGGATGAAATGAAGAAGGAGACTTATTTATTTATTATATATTTTTAAAAGTAACAATGAGTAGCGGGTTAGTTTTATTCATATTAAGCCTGAGGTTATTTCATTGGTGAGTTATACATGTCAAAGTTATCAGTAGAAACTTTATAATTTCAGAGTGTATGACAAAAGATAAAAATGGTCAAAAAAGGTCTTTAGACTGTGACTTATGTCAGCAGTCTATACTGAACTGTGTGGTGGGTTCTTCACCCAACTGTATGCAGAATCAGTAGGTTTCTGTCAACTTAATTATGATAAGTAAAAGCTTGATCAGTAATGACACACTGCTTTGCATATTTTGGGACTAGTCTGGAACATGGTCATTGACTCCATCTGCTTTTTCTCAAGTCTTTGTCTCTGTCAGTTTATCAGGCCAGAATATGTGATGTTCTATGACATTATATTAAATGGGATAATTCATGTAGAAACACTATGAAAATTGTAGACTGAGTATTAGTTTATGTACTGCATTATTCATGAACAAGTCTGATGTTTCAGAGCAGGCAAGCTGTGTAGCAGATCACTTGTTATTTTGTTGGCACTGAGAATGAATTCCTGCCTGATATTATTCACAACAAGTTGCCATAGGAGCCTATAGTTTGGAGTTAGAGATTATCCCTAAAGGGAAAACAAGTGTCCTATTTGAAAATGGCATGCTCTTGGGGAAGCTGACATATTGTTACTGGTCATTTTCATATTACAGTAAAACAGCATATTTTTCTTTCCACTTTATATTTTTCTTTGATAACAAGAAATTGAAAAAGTGAAGATCTTGTAGGAAAAGAGTTGAGTAAGAATGTGTAGCAGAATGGACTTCTCTAGGGAAAAAAGTGGATAAATGCCCCCAGGATAGCAGGAGGAAATTGGAATGAGTGAGTGCTGATCAAGGAGTCCAGAGAATCCTGTCTGCGTCTTGACTTTGCTATTGACTGTTTCTATGGCCTTGGGCATCTATAATTTATTCTAAATTTTCATATTTTAATAGCAATATTGTGAAAGTTTTAAAATTCTAAGCAGCTGATATATGAGAACATTTTAGAAGGCATTTACCTCTGTGCAAAAGATATGATCATAAATAGATACAGGGTTAATTATTTCCCCTAAGCTTTACCACTACCCATCTATTTGCTTGAATAGTATATGGATCTTTATTTCTTTAGTCTTTTTTTTTTAAAAATCATGATTCATTCTTAATTCTAATTTATGCCAGGCTTATTATTAACATTTCATTGCCTTTATATATATAGTAATAAAGTCCTATTTTTCAGGTAATTATAAGAAAAATCCAAAAAAGAAGACTCAAAGAAACCTTAGTAAACGCTGCTTCCATGATTAATTAATTGCAAATGAGTAAGAAACATAGATTAGGTGTCTTTAAAGAAAAGTAGAAGCATTGCTTACAAAACACTTTTTGGATGGACAAGTAGAAATTAAGATGTAGATTAACAGTAGATTTATTCAGGTTAACCTGTGCTTTGCATACTGCTATAAAGAAATTTTTTAGGGAGCATCCTCTATGTGTATCTAGGGATTAATTGTTTAGATTTACTATGAATTATCTATCTCTATCCATTTAAATTATCTATTATACCACCAGGGCTTAGTACATTACTTAAAATCAATGATATAGTAGTTAGAAGCAGAAGACAAGCAGAATTGATTGGAAAATAAAATGGCAGAATTGAGAGAAATTTGTGCTTGAAAGCAACTTTTTCAGAAGAAACTCAGCTTTGCTTTATATGTTGCATTTCTTCTTGAAGTCACTTCCTTGCCTTCTGATGTTCAGCCACTCTCATGTTTCAATATTTCCTGTCTTGCCTTCATGATTTATGTTTAAAAGCTAAAACCAACTAGTCAAAGGGAGGAATTCAAACTTTTGTTTGGTTTTAGATCACCGATTACCATGTTTATGCATCCCACAAAATATACAAATTTTAATGCCCTGTATACTTTTTTTTTTTTTGCCTGAATTACTTTAAACTAGTGTGAATATAACCTCTGGCCTAAAAAACCCCTTTTAAGTAGTTGGTCCATTAACACAGCATACACTGAGCATTATGGGAAAAGGAAGTTCCTGTTGCCTAGTCCCTCATAGTCCTAGAATTTCTGAAGGGCTCTCAACAAAATTTGCACACACCTCAGTCATTTCTGGTATTGTCCATGAGTTCAAGTCTCCTGGTTAATCCTCACCTCATACTTTGGAAATTGATAGGTTTTTTTAGGGATTTTGAGTCTGTTCAGCTAGGATTCCAGAGACTTCACTGACAGTGCATAAATAGAAATAAAGTCTCTGCAAAAATAATTGAGAAAAGTCTCTAACCAGCCCTCAGTAATTTAAAAAGAGAGAGAAGCCTTGACTAAGTATAAGAACATCATTTCCAGAGTCAACACATTATAATATTCAAATGTTCAGTTTTACAACAAAAAATTGCAAAGCTTTCAAAGACACAGGAAAATATAGCCCTTTTAAAGGATCAAAGTAAATTGATAACTCTTTCCAAGTGAACTCAGATATCTAAATTACTGGGAAAAGACTTCAAAACAACTGTCTTAAATAGGCTTAAAGAACAAAAGAACATGGCCAAAAAAGCTATAGGAAATCAAGAAAACATTGTATGAACAAAATGGGAATACCAATAAAGAGATGGAAATTATAATGAGAAACAAAGGAAAAATTCTGGAACTGAAAAGTGTAATGACTAAAATGAAAATTCATTAGAGGAGTTCAACAGCAGATATAAGCAGACAGAAGACAAAATATATAAACTTGAAAATAAGATAATTGAAATTTTCCATTCTGAGGAAAAGAAAGAAAAAAGAATGAAGAGTGAACCCCTGGTGTATACCATCAATGTAATCAATGTATAAACATATATATTATGAGAGTCCCAGAATGGGAAGATAGGAAGGGACTGAAAGAATATTTGAAAAAATAATGGCCAAAAGCTTCCCAAATTTGGTGAAAGATACAAATCCACACATTTAAGCTCAGTGAATAAACTCAAAGAGATCCTGTCAGAACACATAATCCAATTGTCAAAAGACAGAGAATCCTGAAAGCAGCAAAAGAAAAGTGACTTATTACATTTCAAGATTAACAGCTTACTTCTAATTGAAAACCATGTATTGCAAAAGGCAATAAAAAGTCACATTCAAAGTACTAAACCGAAGATTATTACTTAAGCAACTATATCCAGAAAAACTATTTGTTAAGCCAAAGGAGAAATCAAGACATTTCCAGATAAACAAAAACTGAGAATTTGTTGCTACCTGACCTGACCTGCAAGAAATATTAAAGGGAATCTTTCAAGGTGAAATGGAAGGACATTAAACAGTAATTTGAATCCACAAGACAGAAATAAATAACCTAGTAAAGTTGAATACATAGGTAAATACAAAGATAGGATAAGTGCATCTTTCTTTATGATTCATCTTCTCCTCTCAGTTAAAAGGCAATTGCATAAAACAATAACTACAAATTGTGTCTCTAGGCTTATAATATGTAAAGTTGAAATTAGTTTGATCATAATTTTACAAAGGACAGTGAAAATGTAAATATGTTGGAGTGAAGTTTTTGCATATAGAATGTAAATTGATATTAACCCAAACTAGATTTTTATAAATTAACATGGGAAACCATGAAGGAAGTAATTTCTAAAATATTGTCAAAGCAACAAAAAGTAAATTAAAATAGTTTGGTACAGAATATCTATTTATGACCAAACAAAGTAGTCATGGAGCAATAAAAGAACAACAAAACTATAAGACATAAAGAAAAGAAATACCAAAATGCAGACATATATCCTACCATATCTGTAACTACACTTAATGCAAATGGAC